CAGGAACAGGTGCCGAAAGGCTCCCCTACCGCACTGTAGCCACAGCAGGGGCAGACGCCAAAGTCAGCCCCGCTGTCACATCTAGTCACTGTAGCGGCATGGCAGCCTAGTATGTTTGTGTATTAGGATTAGATGGGTAGAGTTGTATTTATAGCTTTCCACTGCAACTCGCTAAAGAGAGCGAGTTCAGTTTTGTCATCTTCTCTGCAGAGCTCCGACCAACGCTGGTGCTTGTACTGTGTGTGCGCGCTCTGTTCTCCCTCCCTTCTTCTACCTCTAGCCATAGTGTGTGGTCGACAACGCCGATGAGCGGTCGACTCACCCGTGCGGGAAATCCGGGGTCCAACAATGTCAAGCAGCTATGAGCTATATCATGTAAGTGTACTACTCTCCTGTCACCTTGCAGTTGACAGCAGCTTCTTGGACATGCATCTTCCCTTTTCTTGGAAAAGAGTTGGTGACATACTTATCCAAAAATTTGCCATTAGCAGGCCGTAATCGCGTCATACACTCGGATAAGCACGGGCGATGTGGATTGCATTTGCAGATATAATTGCAGAGTTTGGTGTGTGGTAGCTAGATGGCCACTGCACTTGAGATATCATGCATGCTTGGCTGCTTGCGTTAATCTCTGGTCTGCTGCTTGCATCGGGGGCACACACACTTTGCCTTGTATTTTAGAGCTTTATTAATGGCCTGTTTTTGTCAATGCTAATATGGCCCATGGGTTGGAAAAGTTGTACGCAGATTTGGGGTTAGTTGGAGCCTTGCGTTGCACCCACAAAAGGCCAACCGATCAATCATGTACTAATACTAAATATGCAATCTCGATCCATCTTCGTGCATCGACCGTATCAGCAAAAGTTAGACGTCGAGTTGACAGGCTCATCTGTTGTAATAAGAAATAAAATTAGATAACAAAAAGAAGGATAAGATATATGCTGCGGCCATCAAAGGTAATAATGGCATAGATTGTTGTCTTAGAAAACGGTGACGTGGAAGTGCACTCATTTTCTTTCTCACAATCCTAGATTTGATATGGCGGTATGGCACGCCAAAAATATCTCTCTCGCTTGGTGGGATAATCTATCATGGAGGTCCTAGGTGTAATAAGATTAGAGAGAGAGAGAGACTTTTTTGAATTTTACTATAGCGCGCGTGAGCGTGTTGAATTTGTGTGATTCGAAAATTAACTTGCTTGTTGTTTTTGAAAAGATGCGCTGAGGCGGGCGCTTGTGAATAAAAATGGCGCATGACTGCATGCAGACTCTAGCTGCTCCCTAGCTTTGGATCCACTATACAACAGTGGAGAGTAGGTTTTTAGCTCCCACCTCCTGTAAATGGAGAAGTGTTTGTTACCAACTCTCTACTACCACTTTGGTTTACGGTTGTTTGGGTTTAGGATATGGGCGGCTCGCTATCGCAAGCGCTTCAGACCTTCGAGCCACGACAATAAGTATGACGGCGAGACCGGCCCCAACCACTGGCTAAGATATTAGCTCGCAATGAGGGCCGAAGGGGCGAACGACGACTTCGCGATCAAGTACCTTCCTCTACTCTTGTCAAGCTCGGCGAGGACGTGGCTCGAACAACTGAACACGGGCTGCATCAGCAGCTGGGCTGATCCATGGGGTACGTACACCCGTCCTAGAGACTCATGGGGCATTTTCATGGGACATTTTTCTTCTTACTGCTTTGTTAAGATTGTAGGTTTAACTAGTAGCTCCCTGTTACGCTTAAAAATATGCAATTACATTAGAGGAGTCATGCATTTCTCATGTTGAACTTGTACATATATTCTCTCGGCAACTCTCGAAATCTGACTAAATTATGGTATGACTCATACTACAAATTGTCTTGTCTAAAGGAATGTGAACTTGTGGCTAACTAAATGTTTAAACACTTACCCTCTCTCTGCTTCTGCCCATTATGCTGAAACTAAAGCTTTATATACTCATCTACTGTTCTTGTGCAGTAGAAAGTACATACGCAAAGAAAGCACAGTTTTGCTGGTTACAGTATTGCAGTAGCTGCTTTTTGCTGAGGGAGTACTGAAACTTTCTTATTGTTTTTTCCAGATAATTGCTTCCGCAATAGTAATTATGTTAGTCTATTTAACCTGGATAAGACTAGGAGTATTACTGTCCACATCTGGGTTTCTACTACCAAAGTACCAAGTGCCTATCTCTACAAATTGTTGGATCACGTATCGTTTAGAAAAGCTAGAATAATCCTAAAACACAGTAGACTAGATCACCATGTGGAGTAGAGAACTTGTTTAAATCCAGTATTTATACACAGTGTAATTTCTGCATGATATATATGACAAATAAATCTGATGATGATTGCTTACTAGTTTAATTTGTGCAGTTACAGGCTACTTGGAATAGGTTTCAACACTAGTTGTTTGAGACAGCTGTTGTGCTTTCAATCCTACATACATATGATTACTTCATGCAGTGCCTACAAGGTCCCTGACCAAATGCCAAATCGGTCAGCCATGGCCGTGCACAAGGGCTTGCCGCTCACGTTTTCTTCAGTTAGACCACTGTTGGGCAGCATTTGTTCTCTACAAGTTCAGTACCTATTTTTAGCAGCTTATCCTAAAGCTTGTTCCTGATCTGGTCGGCAAAGTGTGCTTAGATTGTTTAATTACAGCTGTGCACATTTCTTCTCATTAGGGGTTTATTTTTCCACATGTTAATTAGAGCTTTCATCAGCTTGTTAATTAGTGAGCTTTCATTTCCTTAGCTATCAAAAGATTAGCACCAGTCTTTTTATTAGCTTACCAACATGTTGTTTATGCTTCCTTCAGTGATCAAAAGCGTGATAGTTTCAGCCTCTGTACCATGCGAACTGTAACTGAACATTATCAATGGGTTGAATTATGTTTTATTGTCTTTATAAAATTTGTCTATTTAATTTTCTAGTCTAATGAGTGAAGTAAAAAAGAGAAACATTATCCCGCGAAACATCATCAGTGGTGCTTTATTGTCTTTATAAAATTTGTCTATTTAATTATTTTTCTAGTCTAATGAGTGAAGTAAAAAAAGAGAAACATTATCCTGCAGGTCTATACTAGGATAATTTGTTTCGTGTAGATGCCTTGTCAGACCAAAAAACATTGTAGATGTTTGTGAGTATGGAATGCACCTATGTTCTAATTCTTACTGACCTTGTGATTACATTGCTATATTATGTGTTCTTGCTTGCTGTTATAGCACTTCACTAGTCTCTACCTTGTATGTGCAGATGCTTTCTTCAATTGCGATTCCTGTAGAACATCTAGTTGATGCTAAAACTATGCAGTTCTCTACAAAAGATATATTAGGAGGCCACGTGCTGTCTGAAGTAGCCAACCTCATAAGTCCTATCTTTGGTGGCTGGGATGTGGAGCTAGTGAAGGATATTTTCTGGCAGGAGGACGCTGATCTCATTCTTGCCTTGCTGGTTCACGAAGGAAGGCCGAACATGCTGGCTTGGCATTATGATAAGCAAGGAAAGTTCAGTGTCAAAAGCGCCTATAAAGTTTGTTGGTCGGACAGCATGCATACAAGATGTAGGGGGAGAGCAAGGAAGCAGTGTGATGGCCGTAACGACAATGCGGAAGAAAATATGGCAATTTGAGTGTCCCAACAAGGTAAAGCACTTTCTATGGCGTTTCGCTCATAACAGCCATCCACTTAGAAGCAACCTTGCGAGGCGTGGGATGAAGATTGATGATAGATGCCCAGTTTGCAATAGGGTCGGTGAGGATGGCGCTCATCTGTTGTTTAAGTGTGTGTTGGCGAAACAGGTTTGGAACCAACTCCACTTAAACAGTGAGCGCGAAGCACTCACTGGTTCATTGCAAGCTAGGGATGCTCTGGACTTTATTCTGAAACTGAAGGAGGAACAAAGACTGATTTTGGTGATCGGCCTTTGGTTCTTATGGGGCGAAAGAAATGCAATTAGGGAGGAAGGGTGCTGAGAGTTTAGCAAGAGCAATCCGCATCTATGCCAAGGAAATGACTGACTTATATGTCAACGAAAAGAAGTCGAAGGAGAGAAGAAGGGTGCGCTGGAGAAGCCACCGGCAGGACATCTCAAGCTGAATTGCGACGCTTCTTTCAAGTCAGAAACTGGAGAAAGCAGTTGGGGCTTCCTGGTTTGTGATTGGGATGGCGATGTCGTTCTTACTAAACAGGGGAAGATAAACCATCTACTAAGTGCTTTTCAAGGCGAGACGGTGGCATGTCTCCAAGGTGTACAAGCGGCGATCAGTATAGGAGCTGGGAATGTGATCTTGGAGTCCGATTCTTTGATAGCTGTGTGGCGATCAACACTGGTGCATACTCAGAGTCTGCAGTTGGTAGTTTAGTTGATGAGTTGAAGTCTCTAGCGGTTGCTAATTTTATCAGTTTTCAGTGTGTGTTCAAGGTTAGAGAATGTAATAGGGCTGCTCATCGGTTAGCAATGCTGGGGTCTTTTTGTGCTGAAGGGGATGAGCAATTCTCGAGCTCACTCCCTGAATGTGTCGCTGGAATTGTCACTAGTGATTCATTAGCACTTGAGTAATGAAAGTCTACCCAGTTTTTTTTTTTTTAAAAAAGTTGGGTGTGTTGAAGAAAAAAGAAAAAGCAACAGTAGGAAATGGGTATGGTCTGCAGTGTATTAGGAACTAGGAAGGTATAAAGGTCACATGGGCTGTATAGCTTCTGGAACGAAAGATAGGCTCTTGGCCCATTTAGAAAAAGCTGTGTTTCGCTTGGACACAGAAATAGATCTGGCCTAATAAATTAACAGCCTAACCCATAACCCCTCTCCGAGACCCAATCCATTTATCCAGAGTCCAGTCCGATCCGAACACAACCGCCTCTCTAAACCGGTGTATATCTGGAGCGCACGCATCGGCGAAACCCAGAATTCTTCATCGATCTTTTTTTCCGCCTAAAAAAACAGAGCGAGTCCAATTCGAGAGGGCTCTTCCCACCCCACCTCCCCTCAGCGCAGCCGCAGCCATGGCGTCCGCCGAAACCCTAACCCGCTCCCGCTCCCCCTCGCGCGAGCCCTCCACCGATCCGCCCCGCGCGGCCTCTTCCGAGCCCCACCACAACGGCGACGGCTCTGGCGCGGGCGCCGGAGACTCGTCCCGCCGCCGCCGCCGCAGCCGCTGGGAGCAGTCCAACGACGACTCCGCCGCCAACAACTACGGCGGCGAGGGCGGGACCGGGGGCCGGAAGCGCAAGACGCGGTGGGCCGAGGAGGAGCCGCGCCCGGCATTCGCGCTCCCGGACTTCATGAAGGACTTCGCCGCCGAGATGGACCCCGAGGTACACGCCCTCAACGCGCTTCCTCGAGATCTCGCGCCTACTGCAGCCGGGGGGCCTCCCGCTCGATGACCGCCCCGAGGGCGCACGCTCGCCCTCCCCCGAGCCCATCTACGACAACCTCGGCATCCGCATCAACACCCGCGAATACCGCGCCAGGGAGCGCCTCAACCGCGAGAGGCAGGAGATCATCTCGCAGCTCATCCGCCGCAACCCCACCTTCAAGCCCCCCTCCGACTACCGCCCACCCAAGCTCCAGAAGAAGCTCTACATCCCCATGAAGGAGTACCCCGGCTACAACTTTATCGGCCTCATCATTGGCCCTCGTGGCAACACGCAGAAGCGCATGGAGAAGGAGACTGGTGCCAAGATTGTCATCAGGGGGAAGGGCAGTGTCAAGGAAGGGAAGCTGCTGCAGAAGAGGGACCTCAAGCCGGATCCCAGCGAGAACGAAGACCTCCACGTGCTTGTTGAGGCAGACACGCAGGAGGCACTGGACGCGGCTGCTGGTATGGTGGAGAAGCTGCTCACCCTGGTGGATGAGGTGCTCAATGAGCACAAGCGGCAGCAGCTCCGGGAGCTTGCCACGCTTAATGGGACAATTAGGGACGACGAGTTTTGTAGGACATGTGGTGAGGCTGGTCACAGGCAGTATGCTTGCCCCAACAAGATGAACACGTTTAAGAGTGATGTGCAGTGCAAGATCTGCGGGGATGGTGGGCACCCGACTATTGATTGTCCGGTCAAGGGCACTTCTGGGAAGATGATGGACGATGAATACCAGAACTTCCTGGCTGAGCTTGGTGGTGGGAGTGCACCTGAGTCCATGAACAAATCTGGTGGTCCAATGTTGGCTCTTACAGGAAGTGGTGGTAGCAGTGGTCCTTCTGCTGGAACTCCGCCTTGGTCAGCCGGTGGCGGTGCCGCTGCCACTGGGCTCAATGGTATCAAGAAAGACTGACGAGACAAATCTGTATATCGGCTACCTGCCACCTACAATGGATGATGCTGGATTAGTCAGTCTGTTTTCGCAATTTGGGGATATTGCCATGGCTAAGGTGATCAAGGATCGAAACACTGGACAGAGCAAAGGATATGGATTTATCAAGTATTCAGATGTGTCACAGGCCAATGCAGTGATTGCTGCAATGAATGGTCACCATGTTGAAGGGAGAGTTATTGCGGTTAGAGTTGCGGGAAAGCCGCCACAGCCGGCACCTGCAGTATCAGCACCCCCATCGTATCCTCCTCCTACGGATCCTACTTCAGGTGGCTATTCCTCCCAGTCCTACATGGGGGCACCACCGCCACCTCCTCCAGGGAGTTACGCTCCAGTTCCTTGGGGGCAGCCACCACCTTATGCTTCATATCCTCCGCCACCACCAGGCTCTAGCGTCTACAATCCTGCACCTCCTGCACCAGGTCAAGCTGCCCCACCTCCATACGGGATGCAGTATCCACCACCACCACCACCCCCAGCAGCTCCGATCCCTCCACCAGGCACTGCTGCATCAAGTGATGGAGCTCAGAACTACCCCCCTGGTGTAACACCACCAAGTTCTGGCGCACCCACTCACCCTGTTGCAACATCAGTATATGCATCATCTGGCGCACCAAATGCACCATCGATGTACCCTCCACCACCTTATAGTTACTCCCCATACTATCCTCCACCATTTCAGCCACCACCTCCACCACCACTGGCTAGTGTTGATCCCTCTCAGAGTATTGCAACTGCACCTTGGGCTACCCACAGTGCAGTGCCGCCGCCACCACCACCTTTGTCCTCCACAACCGACCAGCCTACGGCTTCCTATGGTGCCGATCCAGAGTATGGCAAGTTTATGTCAGAGATGAAGTGATATGAGGTGAGTAAAGCTGGGCGATTCTTCCAATGAAGGGCATAAGGTGACTTAACATGATCTCTCTCTCTCTCTCTCTCTCTCTCTCTCTCTGTTCTATTAATTTCGCTAGGTACATTTGGGTATGATTTGCTATTTTATTGACAAGGAATCCCATGTTTCAGTTATTCCGTGTGTTTTATTATTTATATACTATATATACTATATACTTAAATTTGACCATTGTGCTGATATACCATAGTTATATCTTACCCATTGTTTGGTTTTGACTTAATGAGTCTACACTGCAAAAGTTTGCTGGAGTCTATATTATGCCATAGTTATTTTTCTTTCAACATCATTTTATGGATTTTCATGCTTTTGCTAGAGGTATTGGTTTTTTTATTAAACCAAAACACATGTATCGCGTCATTGAGGATGCTTATTTATAATAATATCTTATTTTTAGAGATCAGGACTAACATGCTCATTGCTTGTCTGGGATGGAGTAGAACTCAAAAGGAAACATTTGTTTTTGATAGGATATGGTATTATCAGTTTATTTTTATTGAGAATGCCTGGATATTTTTGGGGGATCTGATATCTGATGCACTTTCTCAGGCACTGCAGTTTATACAGAATTCTTTTTAATATATATATGCTTTATGCAATGATCGGTTTACTAATTAGTCCTCACCTTTTCTATGTTGTCTCAACTTGTTGACAGGCTTGATCTTCCTTGGAAGTTATACCAACCTGATTTATTTCTTGTTGTAAGTTTGGGACTCACATCTTAACCTTGCTGTGTGCTGTTGTGACCATTGCAGAAGTTGCAAGCTTAAGAAGGCATCAAGTATGGCTCAGCTGGCATCGGAATATTTGCTTATCTCCTTGAACTATTTTAAGGAACCTGTTACTAATGCTTTTGTTATGATATATATTCTTGTTATTATTTGAGATTACCCTGTGATGTCATTTTAATGCTATGTTCTTTGTGACAGTGTGTTAATCTCACTTTATTATTCATATATATTGTTCATCTTGATTTGGTAGTGCTAACAGACCTCTCCATCTGGAGTACAAAAGCTTGCTGCCCCGTGCTGGTTGGTATAACTTCAAAAATTAAATTGCATGTTTGGTATCTTATGATGAATCTGTTATGCTTTTGTATCTTACGTCTTCACCTAAGTTGTTTGGCAGTTGTCGTGACAGCTTGGCACAGGCAGCCAGAGTTTTTAGCACTTGATGAATATCAGGTATAATGGAGGTGCTGTGAATTGTTCTGTGGACCTAATGTTTTTCATTTGGTTTCTGCACACTTTTCTACTGACAAACAGTAACTAGTTTCTCATTTTTGGTAGTTGATGTGTGTGCTTTAGGGTATCTAAGCATGCATGCATGCTGCAAAAATCTTTGATGAAGAGCTTACAGATATATATTTTATATTGCTAATGCTCTTTTAACATCATTGGAATTTTTGTTTGTGCTTTAAGTAGGATATGCTGGCGTGCAGATCTAGTCTGGAGTCTTATGCGCAAGATGCATATTGTCACAATGATATTTGTGAGATGAACTTGAAGGAGGTTGGCTCAGATTATCCTAGTGAAAGAAGATAGTCAGTCCACAACCAGCATTAGGTAGCTTTATCACGTTGGAGATATACCAGCTGCCTAGGGCTGTCCCATAGATTTGCAGGTGCTATTCTGTCCTACTTTTTGTCTGTTTTTTCAAAGTTCTTTTCAAGTGTGCTGTGTAGATGGAAAAAAATGTGATGTAATGATTAAGGGTACAATTTTTTCATTTGTTATGATAAGCCTAGTTAGTTTTGTGATGGATGTTTTTTCATGATTGTGGTGTCTAAGTGGGACGCAGCCTTAATGTTGTTGGCCAAACAGTATTATAGAGATAGGTTGCTTATATTCAGTTTGGTGTGACCTCGAATCTAGAGCATTAGCACCTCAATTTGCACTACAAATTTTATTTAGCCTTTGTTATATTGTTTTTTCGAGTGGAATATGAACTTCGCTTTTAGGTTTGTCTTTGATTTCTTGTATGAAAATGCTTGAGCCAACCTGGATTACTGGTTGAAGCAATCATAACCCAACTTTGTCAGCTGAGTGCACACAATTATTATGGATTAATATAGTTCATTCTGGGCTTGTTTTTAAGAGTTTTAGTATGTAGCTATTAAACTCGTAGTTAACAGAAAATACAATGGTGTGAAAAACTTGTGGCGCTTAGCTTTCTTTATTAACAGTTTGTGTGCCACTAATTTCAGAATGGGAAAGGTAATTTCACAGTAAGAAACGAAATGATCTATGTGTGCTTTGAATTTTTCTTCTTGCTGCTTTGTGCTGCTTTGCAACTAGTGAGTATATATGGCAAAGTCAAATTTTGAGGCCTTCCATGTTGACCTGTTCATTCATTTATAACATCAATTTGATTTGGTGGCATCCATGTGTTATTGACATACTATTGTTTATTCTTTGGTTTCTTTTATTACTGGTCTATTAGCAGCACCATTTGTATTTGATCCTTTGTTGTGTCGTTTCATGTTTGCTTGTTGAATTTTTTTATTTTTATTATGATTGTTTTACTGAATCATATTACCGGAGATCCTCAAACAGCATAAATTATTCTGCATGCAAAGCTGCGGCTAAAATCGAACTGTTTGGCAAACTGGTTCATTTTCCAGCAGTGGGTGTATTGAGAAACCAGAAACTGGATCTGCTGAAGTTCAAAAAGGAAGTGGATGTCTGGAAGTTATTTCAGTCATATGTTTGTCTATTGACATTTGAATACGTTCTGATTCTTTTTCGGTGTCCAGGTGGTAAATGATGTGTACGGTGACAAATTCGTTGAATTCAAATAGCAACGAAAAACAGTCTGAACGAGTCACATGTGGTCGATGTCTGTTTCTGTTTTACTGCGATTATGAGGTTTCTCATTTTCCACGTACAGATGATCTTGGCTAAAGTAGTTACTAAGATAGATGCGTTAATTGAACTGTTCTACAAAACAACAATAGACTACTGATCATATATTTCTAAACAAAAGTGTGTGCTGGAAATATATGGCTGATTTAGTTCTGTCAAAATCATGTTTATTTATAAAAAAGATTATTAATATCTATTCTAGTCAATAATACATTATCAAAACGTATATTTGATGTTGTATGTACCGTAATTTAATATAATGCTGCAGCTACGAAGGTGGGGGGCCCTAGGGCCGGGTCGTGGTGGTTGTCTCGGAAACCAGTCTGACCCTGGCAAAAAATTGATGTCTAGGAGTGGTGCTTGGGTCATCCAGCATTTTTTGTCCAAACTTATACTGACATGTACTCTGTCCCAAAATAAATCTATGTTTACTGAATGGGAAGATCGATTAAGGGCCTGTTTGAGCTATCCTAGCTAAAGTTTAGCTAGCTAATTGTTACAGCTAAGCTAACTAAACTTTATCGTGAGTGTTTGGATCCACCAGCTAATTCAAAATCTTGGACCATGCCACCTCTAATTAATGCCATCCTTCATTAACTTTTACTGTGTGCTCGCCCAGCCGGCCATGGCCGTTGCTAGCTGCGACGACCCTAGCCTCTGCCCCGCCTCGCCCTTGAGCGCTTGTAGGCCGCTGTCGGTGCCATTGAACCTGAGCTCATGGCGGATGCGACGCTGGTAGTGCTGCTTGCACTGGCCTCTAGTCACACCGAACCCGCTCGAGACCGCGCTGGCCTTATCAGCGCTTGGCTGTGTTGGCCCGCACTGGCCCCATTCGTGCAGGACCAACCTGAGGTTGTGCTGGCCTACATTGGCCCTGTCCGCGTTTGGCCACGCTGGGCCCCGGCCGCGTCGGCCCTAGCTGTGCTGAACATGAGCTTGTGCCGGCCTCCCTAGACTTGAACCGCGCCGGCCCTGCCCAGGTCATCTTGCGGAGGCGGTGGTGCTAGGGGAAGGAGGGGGCCAAGGGTGGCGGCGCTAGGGGAAGAAGAACGAGTCGCGAGCGGTGGGGAAAGCCATAGGTGCGGAGGGTGGGAGTCACTGTGGGGAATGGGCGTGTTGCCAAAAATGTGATGGGCATTTTCTTAATAAGCCAGTTTTAAATGTCATTAGCTAGGTTGGAACAGCTAATGTGATTAGATGGTTTTCATTAGCTAGGAGCCCTTTTAGTTGCTAATGGGATGGGCTGTTTGGATCCAACCTAGCTAAATTTAGCTGTGGATCCAAACAGGGCCTAAATCAAGAGAAAAATTACAGAAAATACATAAATTTAGAGCACTCCAATATCATTTCTAATCTCTAATCCATGTTATTTCTAATCTTTAATCCATGTTGTTGATGATGGTTGCCTAGTTCTGATACTATGCGACTGTTTACCAAAAACATATGTTCATGCAAAGTCGTTCTGGTATGTCAAAACTTAGTGAAGCTAATGACATTGGATGATTGGAGTGCTTTGGATTTACTCCAGTGTATTTTTCACTTCCAATCCGTATCCTTGATGGCTGTCTAGTGTCAAAACTTAGCGCGCCAATGACTAAAGTGATGCCAATGACTTTTGGCGGAGCATGTGTAACTTAGTGAGATGCCAATAACTATGCCACACGAACTTCCCTCGACACATACTCCCTTTATACTAAAAAATGAAGTCGTTTTAGACATTGACACGGTCGCCAAAGCATAACTTTATCTACTTATTTTTATAAAGATATTTATCAAAAAGTGATATATGTAAATTTTTGTAAAAGTATTTTTCAAGACAAATCTATACATATGATTTTTACATTTCCAAACTCAACAACTTAAAAATTATTCATGATTTATATTTCTAATGTTTGACTTAAGCCTTGTCCAAAACGACTTCATTTTGAGTATCGAGGAAGTATGATACGTTGAAAGAGCATTGACCGTCTTGCAGTCAAAGATGATTAAGGAAGAATAAATTTGGCATTACCCGTAGCAGTCCATGACATAAAGATGATTACAATTGAAAGTTTGGATAACTTCTTGGCCAAAGCAAGATTAGAA